ATAGTCGTACCTGACTTTGAAGCACATGAAATGGTCCAGTATCAGCAAAAATGTAAGGGTAAAACAGCAAACTATTCGTGATTCCCAGTACCTTGTGTTGTGGAATAGATAGTTTCCTCTTGCATGAACTCTAATCTTGGTCAAACATGTACTAAAACCTTAAAGTAGATAACCACAGTGAACTCCATATAAAATTGGCTAACTTGAAGATTGTCTTTGGATAAACCTCCTTATCACAACCTCACAAAACACAATCCTATTGGTTTTATTCCAGACCACTACACAACTCATAGGACTTTATGTCCTCTCTTTACTTGATAATAATAGTTAGATACATTTCTTGTACAGCAGGTCCGAAACACTTACGGGCATAATAGTAATTTACATGTGTTTACAAATGAGACACTAGGCAAGTAGAGTTGTTCAATGGATAAGTGGAAATATATATGACAGGATATTCACACAGATATAATAACAAGCAAAGAAAGAGGTTTATGCGTTGGTACTATACTATGAATTTTTCGTCCCTTAAAGTAACCCTCGAGCTATTGATAAAAGAGACCAGACGAGTAGTGAATAGGTCTTTATTTCGATCTTAGCGCAGTCACAGTGAAGCGTGGGATTATTTGTTCAGACAAACAAAGCCTCTCAACATTCAATATAAGATAATAAGAAATATAACGCCTAAGCAAAATAAGGAAATGAATGAATACTTGACCTATACTGTTTTGGCATATGCTTGGTTGTTTGAGGTCAACTCTTAACCAACCAACCTATGCTGTTACAAGTTCACGGTCTTCCAAATATATTTGGAAATGGCACCTCGTGCAAACTGCAACCTTGGCCTAAGAAAGAGTAATGTGACCACAAGGTTAGATGTTGGATGACATGTCACTGTACTCAAGTAATCACAAGTTTTTTCAGACGACGTGGCTAGTCCAAGTAGTTTGCTTTTTACGTTTCTTCTTGATGGTCCAACTTTTGTCTTTGTAAATAGAACATCTAGAATGCGTATTCTACATTTACTTTCTTCCACATATTTGAATTTCATCATCAGATGAAATTCATTAATTCGCTGGCGTCCCTTTCTTGTCATTATGTTCGTCCCAAACATTTGATCGTCAAACATATTGCCAATTAAGAAAGAATCGCATTACACACTACAAAACCTAGTACGGCTGGAGATAAAACTATCATGATAATTTACACCAGTCAGCACAACCTATCCATTTTCCGTATTGCTGCAAATATGTAAAAACCAGTCAACATTCAGTGAATACTTCATGACACTTTATCACAAGGTTACTAAACGTCATCACCAAGTATGTTCGCTAGATAAGTGACTGTGTTTCTGCAGTCATATGGTTCAGGAAATTGGAATTTTCTCACTGCATACAACTACGAGAATTAGTGAAATAATGTGTTCAGAAGGAACACCGTGCAAAATGTTATCGTTTGTGAAATTAATTATTGTTGAACCTGTCAAAAGTAGGCCTTGTTTCATGAAAAGATAGTTCCCATATACCTTCCAAAGATCCTTGTCATGTTAGTGGTATATGTGAGGTAGAATGTTGCACAATGAAGTCCAGAATTGGGTTATTGGCTATAGGAGGAATATACCGTAGTCCGTGTTGTCTTGCTGACGACTTTATCTTTAGACACATCTGCTCATGGAGTAAGGCAGAATGTAGTCTCATCATTGGTGACTTCAACGCACCACATATCAACTGGATAGAGCCTACAGCTCCAGGTGAGGGTTTCGATAGAGACCCTCTATCAACTATTATTCAGTGTGCACTTGTACAACGTATCGCAAAACCGACACATATTGACATGGAACATGACTCGTCATTGCTAGACCTTGTCCTCGCACACCACTGTGAGGATGCCGTCGACGCTCAGCACCTTCCCCCACTAGTGAATAGTGACAACTTTGTACTGTACTTTAAGTTTAGAACACACGATATACAATTTGTATCCTTATTGCAATCTTTCTTTTACACATTACCACCTCTGAATTAACTACTTTTATGAATCCGCTGTCCATCTTGTTGTGTTAATGAGGTATGGTAGCTTGGACCGATGCATAAATGTGCCTGGTCCTACGTTGTAGCTGACTGACTGATCTGTTAACTCCCGAGCAACATGAGTTTCGTAACAAGCGTTCATGCTTGACTAACTTATTGCGAGAGGGGATTGAAAAGCAGCCATAGATAACGGTCTGTCTGCCGATGTGATGTTCATAGAATTTAACAAAGCATTTGACAGGGTTTCACACTTAGGTCTTATGCGGAAGCTCTCGAGCTTCGGAATAATAGGTGCCGTACAGGAATGTATGGGAAACGTCTTATGTGGCCACAGACAGAGATTGAGGGTCAATGGAATGCTATCTGAATACAAGCCGGTCAAAAGTGGTGTACCCCAAGGCACTATCTCAGGCCCTCTACTTTCCCTTATCTAAGCTAATGAATTATGCTGTTGCTTAAGTCGTCGACATTACTGTTTGATGATGTCAAAATCTGGAGAACAATAAGAAATGAGGCTGATCATTTGGATCTTCAAGCTGACTTGGATTAATCAGTTAGATGGGCTCAAAGTTGGGGCTTATAAGTTGGTTCTAGGAAGAGTGTGCTCATGCACATCGGACACGGTAATAGTTACAAGTATACTATTGATGGTACTTCTCTTCCAAGCGTTCAAGAACATAAAGACTTAGGAGCAATAATAATTCATGACTTGAAAAAAACTACATAGTGCAGCGCAGCTGCTGTCAAAGGTTTTCGTGCATTACGGTCACTTCGCCAAGCATTCAAATGCTTTGACGAGGAAATGTTTCGCATTTTGTATTCTACCTATGTAAGACTACGCTTAGAGTACTGTATCCAAGCTGCTAGCCCACGTCTGATAAAGGACACTAACTCCCTTGAGCGTGTCCAGCGTGTGGGAACGAAATTAGTGAAGGGTCTTTCTAGTCTCCCTTACGATGAGCGCTTAAAACGCCTAAACATTTTCCCCTTGTCGTATCGCAGGACGCGAGGTGATCTTATACTGGCATTTTGTATCTTTAATTATGATTTGAGTGTTAATATATTCTATATTTTTGCTCCCTCCAGCACTAATAATCTCCGAGGCCATAGCAAGAAGGTTCATAAACCGCGACCTAATAAACTTAAAGTGAGGTTCGGTTTTGCTCATCCAGTAGTCAATAACTGGAACGCCTTACCCGAACAAGTGGTATCATCCCCACCAGTGAATATTTTCAAGGAGAAGCTGAACCTTCACTGGAAGGCAATCTGTTAGGATTAACACAGGTTCACCAACCTACCATCCTTATTACTGAGGACTGAAGATCTTTTCTGAAAATAACCAAATAGACTAAAAGTGACGTGTGGGTCTATTGGGATCGTACCTACTCAGAAATGAGTGTGTTTGTGCTGTGTAGCACCGTCTATTACAACATTTTTGTTTCTGTTTTGTTTATCGCTATCAAGTTCATACCTAGTGATGGCTCTTTTCAATCTGTTTACAATTATCAGAAACCAATATTGGATTCCTAATTTCAGCTATTATTTTCGATTATTGTAGGATCAAGATAAAAAAGTATTCTATAATTTGAACAAATAACTAGCCTACAAAGCCTTAAACTCAGAATCCACGAAACAATGCGTTCTTGATTTCAGCTTCATAAAGATTGAATATTCGGGCTACTTGTACATTGAGCAATTTCAGGTCGAAGTTTAAATGATTTAAAGTAGGTAAACAGCTGATCTCTGACGGTTGAGTATGTCAAGGCTAAGTCGTGTTGTCCAAGATATTTTTGTTATGAATACCTCTGAATTAACATGCAGATAAAATTTGTACGTTAAAAATGGCTTTTAAATTAAAGCTGGCAAATATTTTTTCTGGAAGTGTGTATTGGTTGGCTGAAAATGAAGTCATTGTGCTGGAACTAAAATTACCAAAAGTATTGCGCTAATTGTTGACCTGTTGTGCAAGTACCAGCAATTCGTTGACTTTAAATGCATTTTTCTGCTCATTTGAGGTGTCTGAAAGGGATTCGTGCGATGTCACTCACTCCATATATATATATATATATATATATATATATATATATATATAATTGTGTTTCTAGGTGAAGTTTCACTTCGGTAGATGACGGGGCTCACATCTCTCGTTTTATAGGGAAAATTTTTCAAACTCCGAGTATGCTACCTACTTTTTTCAACCATGTGATATATACGATACTAACTAGTGTACAGTTTTTATCGCATGACTAGATACACGTTAGAACGACTAGAAACTGGTCTTATCGGCTGATTCAAGCATTTACGGTCGACTTATGGTTTTCTATTGTTTCCAAAACGCTCACCAACCAGTGGTATGTTATTAAGTTAGACTGAATTCGTTTAGTTATGAAAATGTAAAGTATAACGCACGTACTGTTTCAAGCTATCATACGGCGAAGAAAGTTAGCTGGACGAAAGCAAAGAAGTCCAAGTGCTCATATTTGTCATAATGGGGTCTGAAGGGGTGGGGTTAGCGGACCTCATTAATACTTCCAAAGTATCTAGAATCAAATATTAGAAGCTGACTCATATCTACTCCCCTAAGCTATATTTCACAACTTCAGAGTAATACAGGACTCACTGCTGTGCTTTATATTGGCCTGATAATTAAGAGACGAATCTCACCTGCACAAATATACCAAAGACAAGAGAGTATTTTATCCACTTCTTTCAGGCTATCATTAATTGTCCGTAGTTTTTGGTTTAGCGGGAGTTACTATAACGAGGTTGTATCGTTTGTGTTTTTTATTCATAACGGAAATAGGTATTTTGTAGGAATTAGAGCTCTTTGAATATGCTTATTGGGTGTGTGCGTCACCTGGTATTTTTTAGAAATGCCACTAAATAATCATTCCATTTGTTATACGATGCGATTCAGTCAATGCATTCGAAAGTTGCATTTGTTTGTGCTGAATATTACAACTGTTGGAATCTCGCATGTTTGTCACATCTTCAAATATATAGATGATCGTTTCAGTATAACCTTATCGAATAACAGTTTATTTTGAACAGGGACACATCAGTATTGTGTAGTCGTTGCCCCTTGATTTCGCGGAGATCGATACTTATTGACGCAGCAACGACAGACATTCCGGCAATAAAAGTTTGATTTCTCCCACGCATTACGTAGCTCTGTAGGCTAAAGTGCTTCTTACCCGATCTAGGTCAATGAGTAGAGCGATTAGTTGAAAATACTTATGCACTGCATAAAATAATAAACTTTTGTTGAGCTATGGTACAACAAGTGGTGTAATTTGGCCTCCGAATTTGAGCCAAGTTCTGGATTTTTATTACCGTCACACCAATTTGTCGACTGTAATTTGACCTGCAAGAGTAATCCTCGCAATTGATTCTTGAATGTGTTGTTTCTGGTTCCACATCAAGGTAACTTTGAAAACCAAATAAAGATAGCCAGATATCGTTTTCATTAGCAGCAAAAATATGTTGTTGTACTGGATAGACGGCTTCGCTAATATATCCATATCTCGAGGAAATATATATACATGAATCGAATATGTCAGTAGACACATTAAATGGTATTAAATTCATTATTTATCCCTGTCACTTGGTTGTGCAAATAATGCATGTAGAATTGAATTTTGAGTTATGTATTTTTCATCAGCCATGCCTACGAAAGTTTTGAGCTGGCCAATAATACTGACCCTCACGTAATAGGTATTAGTCAGTCTAATATAGTTATATACACTGAATCACTGGGTTTCATTTTGTCAAAATAAGAAATTAATTTTAGACAAACCTGTTAATAAATGGGCTTAGGTAAACAAAATGAAAACGTTTACTTTAGCACGAGTCAGTTACGTTTGCATAACGTTAGTCAGTCAGTCATATTTAACGAATATCCCATATATTTAGTGGTCATGTTTCACGGCCATTAATTAAAACAACAGACTACTGCGCGGTATACTCATCCTTTGGCTAGGAAACTTGTACAACGAGAACAAAATTGAATTTGTCAGTCAAAATCCTTGTTAAAGTAGGATTAGGCTGGTAAAAACTAGATATAAGGAAATGAAAACATGATACTGCACTATAGGGTTACTAACTGTTGGTCTGAATTACTTAAAAAAGTCCACATTTCAGCTTAATAAAAACAAATGTCACAGGTAATTACTTGACGGCATATCCTGAGAACAGTCACAGTAACACATGAACCCATCATCTCTCTAAATTTTGAATGTTTCATGACTCATTCCTTTCTGCATCAAACCAGTATTTTCCATATCTACTTAAATGTCCTGACATTTTTATTAATTTGATTTTGCCATACTTTTACGTTTTGTGGTAACTTGCTCCCAGTCTCTTCGATTCATAGTTATTTAATAATATTTTTGTCTTATATCACTTAAGGTTCCCAGTGACTAGTTTTTGTTACTGTTTCATTAACCATTCGGAAGCTTTGATTTCATGCTGTAGTTATAAGAGATAGTCATTGGATTTATTGTTGGGTGCCATTACTTTCTGTTTTACTTTGTTCAACTACCTTAATATACAAAATAAAGTGGTTTGGCGAATGGTTGAGGTTCTAACGATAACCACGAACAGTGGATGGCAACGGTGGGTGAAATGGTTTAGAGTCAGTCACAATGACGCAGTTACATTGACTCTTTATCTTCCTTTATATCTTGAGTTCTAATATTCTTTTATACATACCTTTCCATTCTGTCTTCTCAGACCATATTTTCTCAGTACCTGATCCTTCTCGTTATCATCGATAATACGGTTATTTCGATTTCTTTAATATTCATTTTGTTATTTTCATCTTATTGTGCTGATGTGGTATGGCAGCCTGGGCTAATGCACGTTTGTTGTGGGCTCTGTGTTAATTGTGATTGACTTGTAAGTGAGCTAACATCTATTTTAGACATATTGTTTTTATAACTTTGGTTAGACAGTACTCTTGACTTACTATTTGGTTTCAGGTAGAAATTCTGCTCCTTTTTACTAAAATTAAGACAGTTGGGTAGTAGGACTTATAACACAAACATGAGCTTTGATATTACCTACTAGATTACACCATTTTTATTTTTGTCGTTTGCTTATTTCTAGTCAGTCAGACGCAAAGTAGAAGCTGACACATGTGTATATCGGTTAAAGTTCCCATACCTTCTTAACACTGCGATATGAAATGGTCAAAGCAACCCCCAGAGTAGTGGAGGTAGTAATAGAAAAGATTATGTACTGAAGATACAACTCAAGAAAATGTAAATTAGTGAAATAATTAAAAATTTATGAGCAATCTAGAAACTTATGATCTGAGGGTAGACAAAGAATGAATAAATCTGGGTCATTGCGAACGATTTTAAGTCATGTTACCCAAAGTCTTTAACTATTGCTTGCGATAATCATTTGAACTGAAACTAGGTAGTTTATACCTGTTGAAGTGGGTCAGTTCAATTGTCAATTACTTCATGGACTGATACCGTATCTTGGTTTTGCTGCCTCTGACATTCTTTCAGCCCATTTTCACTCGTTCCACCATTGATCGTCGGGTGAGATGTGTTTGAGCATACAAAATATCCTCTCTTTAAAGTTTCTTACATATTTCTTATTTTGTGAAGCTTGAATTTATTGGCAAATTGTTTGCAGTCACATTGAAGGTCGGTAACATTTTATTGTCAGCGTTCTTGTTGTGAGGTAACTCTAGTCATAGTTTTTATCTTCTTTATTTGTAGTTCCAATGATTCGTTTGGCGGATAAAATACGTCAAAGACAAAGTGGCATCACTTCTACAGAACCAGATGCTGTTCAATCGGCTTCCGTTCGAAATGCTACTATCCGTGATCGTCTTGTGTTACAGGAACTGCAAGAGTTAAGGGCTAATATATCCTCCCAATGTTCAATTCATCATCCCGATCCAAACAAACTCCATGAATTCACATTAATAGTAAGACCAAATGAAGGAATTTGGGCTGATGGAAGTTATCATTTCAATATTGTTGTTCCCGAAGGTTACAATCACACTCCACCACTAGTCAATTGTACTACACAAATTTGGCATCCGAATATCGATGAAGCTGGACGTGTTTGTTTGAGTTTACTTCGCCAGAGTTCGCTAGATTTCTCTGGTTGGGCACCAACAAGACGTTTGCTCGATGTTGTTTGGGGAATCGAATCTCTTTTTTCGGATCTATGCGATTTCAACGATGCACTGAATACAACAGCTGCTGAACAATACTTACGTGATCCTGAGGCATTTCATGATACTGCACGGAGCTATGTCTTTCGTTTCGCACGATAATCAGTTTATTTCCCCATTCGACTTTGTGTATTTTCAATGCTTAGAAGAAGCCCTGCACAAATCCAACATGTTATTGTCCAGAGACACTTGGAGTTAATTATTTTGTATTTTGTAAACAGAACTGAATGCTTCATGTAAAGTATTGTTAAACATCACTCTTTAGGGAAAGAGATATACATTTATCTAATTTAATGGTTTGCTTGTTTATTCTGGTTACTTGAATGAGCAAAGTTAATTTTCGATTACAGTGAGAAGTGCATTCTGTTTGTCACTTTTAACAGCTAATGGTTGTAATAAAGTCATAAAAATTATAATTTCGTCCTTTTGATATGGTTATAATTTTGTTTATTATGTCTGTAGTTTCATCAAGAACTGATAATACCAGATAGCGCACATATAAATAATTTTTATTTTACAGTTTAATGCAGTCTATCAGACTATTGAATTTGCTACCAAGAGGAAGTGTGACTGCATGTTCATTACGACTAGTTAGTACGACAAATTCGTCACAACCACATAATCCCGATAGTAAAACTCAGAAAAGTAAGGATTCTACTTCTAACAGTTTATTAATATTTATTTTTTTCAGCTGTAGAATCTATTAAAAATGAAAAGAACAAGTCTACGGGAACTATCTACAATGTACCAGAGTACTATGAACATAAAACATTCGGTTTTTACGACTTGGAGATACAACTAAAAGGATTTCGATTACCACAACCTAATCCTTCATGATCTTATTAGTTTGCAATTGTTTAAAACATATAATTGTATAATGTAGTATATAAAGAAATTAATAATGTATCAGGCACACGAAGTAAATATACAAAATATATCATTTCTTATTTCCACTATGACTTCTTTTACTCAATATTTTGTTAAGTTTGTAATACCCTACTAACCTTGTATATAAGTAGTTGAACAATTATCTGTTTATTTCTTTAGACGTCATCAACAATGAATATTGAAACGTTAGAGAAGCGAGTATGTGAACTAGAACATTTAGTATTTGGACCTACTAAATCAGTGAAAAGGCTTACAACTGAACATGAAAAAGTTGACCTAATTATTAGTTCATTTTATTAATTTCTTTAATAAATATATATTTAGAATTTAGTGGATCAACTGTATGAACTATACTCTGCTATGTCAGTTGCTGAAAAACGTCCAGTTAGTAGTAAATTACTATCAAGAAGTAAGAGATTTTTTTCATTTCTGTTTACAGTGTTTACCTTCTATTCAATAATTCTTTTTGTCTAGTTAATGAGATTCAAAAATATACCGATCCAAATTTCATGGAAGATGATACACTTTTGGCTCAGTCTAAAATTGAAATTATTTTAGCTCGTAAGTACAATAAAGAATGTGTTTATTCGATATAGTTTATAAGTAGTTTTGGTGATAGTACTTTGTTATCATCTACTTAGAATAAATTCTAGTTTACTTTTTTTTGGTGGGCGGAACGTACGTGAAACGAGTAAGTAAAGCTTCATCTATTTATTAGCTTGTTATGCTATTCCAAAATAAATGTAGTTGTATGATCCTAACCTTTCAACCGCTTAAAACTTCTAAAACTTATTACGCGAAAGTCGTATTCAATATATCGTTATGTTTAAACAGAGAGTTTCAGTGAATCAGTTTTTACCAATAGAAATTCGAGACAATGATATTTAACTTCATAATTTTGTGAACTATGTTACTCTTAAAATAGTTTTGATCATTTAATAAACTCATTTCTGTGGTCACTCAGCACTGTATATCAATGGACAACTTTTTGGAATAAAAACCACCAACACTTGTCACTTACTAACTACGTTACAGTTGATTGACCTCATGAAATTCAATCGTATTTAGTTTTCAAATTTTTCCATTGTCTTGACTACTCACCTTCATAAATTGCCATTCTAATAGTAAATATTCAACACTTAACGAATAAAAACTTCTTGGGTTTTTATTTCATCATATTATATCCTTTCCTCATGCTGGTTTCTGACAACTCACATTATTATTCCAAATTTATCTAATCTCACTTTCAAACTACTTTTCGTCATCGTTTGCGTATACTAAAAGTTATGCAACATCGGTCACTATTCAGTGATTAATCAATTGCAGGTATGTCATTCCTACAGGATGTTAGTTGCGGCCCAAATAAAAGTTGTAGCATCTCAGATTATAAAACCAAACGATTCAAGTTTTAATTTACCAAGAAGCACCAGTTTCCCCTCAAGATTGCAGGTATACCTTACTAACGAGTGTCAACTAGTAGGAAACCCAGATTGAGCAGGAATTCTTGCCGACAACATTCAGTCATGATAAGTCTTGCTAATTTGAACGCTATATTCGGTTCCTATGCTATTTTCTTAACCCCCAAGCTAGAACCACACAGCGACCTGAACAAGAGAGGAAGGGCGCAAAATATGCGAGAAGCACTCTACTCTAAAGGTTCGTTTTAGTACAGAAAAAATAGGGTTTTTATAGTATTTTAGATGTCCTTGGGTTTCCCGAAAATTCTGGGATGCTACTAAACATAGTAGCAGTATAGTAATTAGCCAATCAGAAACTCTACATGTGACTTTTAACTATCTTGATGTTTCTGGTTAAACTTCAAGTGAACGCTGATTGGATAAAATGCTTCTTAGTGTTTCCTGATCCTTTCTTGTCTTTTGCGAGTTTTCTGGATCATCCCAACAAGTCACCTAATGTTTATGCCATATGTTCTGTATAACTCTGAACCAGCATAATATTATGTCAATTCACTTTGTCAACATAACTTGTAATCTAGTACAAAATCGTGTTGTCTGTTTTAACGTACAATATATAGAATGTAAATTCTAAGGAGGCTATTTCGTTCTTGAGAATCAAAATAAATGGTAGAGTTTTGGAGCCTAAAGTCTATTTGATGGATAGTTGATAAAATCAACATAATTCTAACATGCTTGATTGATTATAGACCAGTCTCTATCACATCTTATAGTTAACCTGTGTAGATTTTTATTTATAAATATAGTAACAGAACGCTGTAGAGGTAAACTTTCCTACTTTCCTATTCTTTTTGAAATCTATCCTCCTTGTTTAATATCGTATGTTTGATGAAGTATCAATAGGTTTGTGCAAAGGAACTATCGATTTTATTCGTTTGCTTACTTTGTGATATCGTTTTTACTTCTAGGATTTCATTATTGTAAATCAGTTTGTGACATTTCATGGCTTATTTCGCGCTTCATGTTTGGTTGATAACCTAATTGTAAAAAATATTCCAAACAGTTGTAGCTTGTATCACGAAATATGACGTGAATGCGAATTACCGATTTAATCCAGAATTTAAAAAAAAGACTCCCTGTTTAACAAGAAATGATGAGCAATTCTTGTATTTAATGTAAGCTCTCACAACTGATGTTCCAAATATTTAAACCGTTAGTCATAGTTATTCATTTTCAGTAGAGTTTGATTTGCTATGACCATCCCATCTCCTTGTCCTAATGGAATATGGTAACTTGAACTTATATATATATATATGTGCCAGATGCTATATTACGTTTGACTAACTGATTGACTAAAAGTGTTTCAGAATATCTGTTGTGCTTTTTAAAATATTTGAAGATCATTCAACTAATAGATCAATAATTGGGTCAGTATGGCATGTAATATTTAAATGTATCTTGTTAAAAATACTTTTCGACTAGGAATAAACACCACTGTTATCCTCCATTTTGGTCTTACACCTGGCGATTAATCAAAATGAAGTGGGAATTACTGCTTACACTATCGTAATCCACATACACCTCCAATTAATTCTTTAATAGAAATTATTCCTAAATATCTACAATTAAATGACTAAAGAGACGAAAAAGTAATCGTATATTACTGACTACAATACTTGGATGACTTGACAATGTGGAGTTTATCCCCACTTTACTTTTTTCAAGCATTATTTTTATTTATGATCAGTTTACGTATCAGACATCTCATACATTTTGTTTTACTTCTAAATTTTATTATTTTAGAACGAGACAGGATAGAGAAAATCGGCAGTGATCTTGAAAAGATTTCAAAGTTGCGAGATTGTTTAAATCATCCAGCATTTGGAGGTTAGTTTTTTTCATGTAGAAATTTATCTATTTTAGAAATCAGTACGCTAAAACAGAAGTTTGAAGATCTACGAATGGTACATAATGATCAATATGTTATGTCCGAGAAGTTGATCGCTGATACACAAGCTTTATTAGATACATATCATAATTTGGTATGTTATATGTGTTAGTGATTTGAATTGTCTGTAACATTTTTGTTTCACACTGTCATCTCTTTCCTGATTCAAATAATCTATTAATCATCCAATATATCTTGAATGATTAGTATGTTTTTATTTTGTACTTTATATTTGTTAAATTGCACACTTCATGCGATTGAGATCTAACACCTTTATACTACGTCGTTTATAAACCTAGCTCTTCACTTAAGAACTTAATGAGATACGAGATTAAAAATGGTGTATTCTTATTACTCAACGCATTTGCATAGATTATCACTAACCTTGTATGGGAAAATAAAATTGAAAAAAAGAAACACACACACACCGTAACTATCGTGGGAGAAGAAGTATGAGGTAAACAGTTTGATGAGATGCTAAAAGTTTTAAGTGAGAAAAATCGTTTCTACCATTATTCAATATTTTACTCTGGCTAATTCTTTCATTGCAATTCAAATAAATTTCAGTTCAACTTTAGAATCGTAAATAACTTAAAAAAAGTAATTGTGGCTGATTAAGTCCGTTGTATATGAGCATGTCAATCTATCATCCAAGGCATTTTTACTAATAAATGTAATTCTTCTATATATCATTTCTTCAAGTTCTCCTCTTGTGTTGTTGTGTCATCTTGTTTGATGTTAATTATGCCTTGAATGTTGTGTGTTGTTGCGGAGTGTTAAGATTAAATTTATTATGTGTCATTTACTTACGGAATTCATGAGCTTCACATTAATCGGTCATAAACTTTACA